CTCTCTCTCTCTCTGTCTCTCAAAAGTAAATAAACATTAAAAAAAAATTAAAAAAAAACAAACAGTAAATCCCCATTCACTTTTCCCCTCCAGCCCTTGGTAACCTCTAATCTATTTTCTGTTTCTATGAATTTATCTGTTCTAGATATTTTGTTTAAGTGGTATCACAGCAGTATTTGTCCTTTTGTGTGTGGCTTATTTCACTTAGCATAATGTTTTCAATTTATTTCACTTAGCAGATATTTCATGTTGTAGCATATATCAGGACTCCAGTCCTGTTCATGGCTGAATAATATTCTATTGTGTATAGATACCACATTTTGTTTATTCATTTGTTCATGGACATTTGGGTCTTTTTTTTTTTTTTTCAAAGTTTATTTATTTATTTTGAGAGCAAGAGACAGGAGAATTCTGAGTAGGCTCCGCAGCGTTCATTGGTGCGGAGCCCGATGTGAGGGTTGAACTCATAAAGCATGAGATCGTGACCTGAGTCAAAATCAAGAGTCGGATATGTACCTGACTGAGCCATGAAGGCTGCCCCCATCTTGATCTTTTCTACCTTTTGGCTATTGTGAATAATGGTACTATGGACATCAGCCTACGGGTATCTGTTTGAGTCCCTATTTTCAATTCTTTTGAGTTTATAGCTACGAATAGAATTACTGAGATATGTTAATTCTATGTTTAACTTTTTGAGGAACTGCTTAGTTATTTTACATAACTGAACCATTATGTAAACCATAATGGTTTACATAGCTGAACCATTTTACAGTCCTACCAGCAACGTACAAGGGTTCCAATTTCACGACATCGTCAGTGCTTGTTATTTTCTTTTTTTCCTTATATTATTATAGCCATCCTAATAGATGTAAAATGATATCTTACTGTGATTTTGATTTGCACTGTTCTAATGACTAAGGATGTTGAGTGTCTTTTCATGTGCTTATTTGCCATTTGTATATCTTCTTTGCAGAAGTGTATTCAAATCCTTTGCCTATTTTTTAATTGGGTTGTCTTTTTGGATATATTTTCTTTTTATTCTATTTTATTCTATTTTGTTCTATTCTATTCTATTCTAATTTATTTTGAGAGGGAAAGCACGAATGAGGGAGGGGCAGAGAGAGGGGAAGAGAGAGATTCCCAAGCAGGCTCCATACTGTTACTGCAGAGCCAGGCGCAGGGCTTGAACTCACAAACCGTGCAATCGTGACCTGAGCTGAAATCAGGAGTTGGACACTTAACCGACTGAGCCACCCAGGTGCCCCTGTTACGGTTTTTTTCCCAATATATTTAAAACATTTTTTTTTTAAGTTTTATTTTTGAGAGAGACAGAGTGTGAGTGGGGGGAGGGGCAGAGAGAGAGGGAGACACAGAATCCAAAGCAGGCTCCAGGTTCTGAGCTTTTGGCACCGAGCCTGAGGCGGGGCTTAAACCCACAGACTATGAGATCATAACCTGAACCGAAGTCAGACAGTTAACCTACTGAGCCACCCAGGTGCCCCTTTCAGTATATTTTAAAACCTGATAATTTTACTGGCTTCTCTTACTTTCTGGGGAGTGGCTTCAGCTGATTGTTTTTCAGGCTTATAACCATATCTGGTCATTTTCATAAATTCACTTTGTTTTTGATATACATGCCTCTTTGTTCTCTTTTCAGATTGCATTGGCAAGCACTTTCAGAACAGTGTTTAAAAATGATTACAGTCATCTGTTCCTTAATTTAATGAGAATGGTTCTAGTGTGTCTTCACTAAATATCCTTGCTTATTACTTTGAAGAGTAATTTGTCTTGTTTTGCAAAGAGTTTTTATTTAAACATCCATATTAAAATTTATCAAGTGCCATTTTGGTTTCCATGGAAATATTTGATTATATTATGTTACATGCAAATGTTACTACTACATAATATTTAATATAATAGATTTTATTATCATATCTTTGTATTTTGAACCACCCTTGCATTTCTGAAATTAATATCTTGAGGTTTTTTTAATGAATTGATGAAGACTATTTTATATTTAAATATTTTTATCTTACCACCACTTATAGATGAGATTGGTCTGTGTTTTTGTCTATTGTGCTTTCTTTTTAGAGGAGGTGAAGATCAGCTTTTGTATTTTTTGTGACTATTCTTGGCCTTCCTATTTTACCACTCCCACCCTCACCAGTTTTAAAAACATTAGATTTACCTAAAGGTAAAGGCTTGAAAGAATTCACCTTAATCATGAAGAGATCTTATGCCATTTAATGCAATTTTTTTTTTTTACAAGTTAGATTACATTTTCAGGTTTTGTAGTTTGCATGATACATTTTTGACCCTTCCATGTATTTTTAACTTGTCATTCCTTTTAGGTATGTCTTTTATAGAGTATATACTTGAATTTGATTGCATAGTTTTTTTTTACCTAATAATTTTATCTCCTTTATATTTATTGTTTGGTGCTTTTGTTATCTTATTTTTCTCTTATTTCCTTGCACTTCTCATGTAATATATATATTACATGAGGGTTTTCCCTGACCTCATCATTCTCCAGTATGCTCTGTTTTAAATTCTACAAAAAAGCCATATAACCTATTATTAAAATACAATATATTGTTAGTTCTACTGAGATTGTTTATATTTTAAGTTCATTTACCACTTGTCAAATACTGCGTTGGTCGTATAGTGGTGAGCATAGCTGCCTTCCATTTGCCAAATACTCATTTAGCTATACTTATGTGGCAGAAATTTATCTGGGGATAAAAAACTGCACTGGAGATAGAGCGGTATACAAATAGTTTCTCTTTTCATGGAGCTTACATTCTGGTTATGAGAAACAGACATAAATACATGGAAAACTGTGATTTGTGTTATGGAGAAAATACAGGGTGATCAGGTACAACTACTAAGGTGACATTTGAGTATGTAACAAAAGGAATGAATTTGTGAGCAACGTAGATATCTCAAGGAAGATTGTTAACATACAGCAGAATCGCAAGTGCAGAATGTACTGTATGTGTTCAAGGAATATTAAGGAAGCCATTGTGACTGAGAAGGGCTAGCTTGGGAGAATGAAGTATCTGGAAGCCAAAAGATTGAAGTATTTGAAGGAGGAAGAGGTAATCAACTATGTCAAATGTTGCTGGTAGTCTCATAACATAAGAACTATTGGGATTTAGTGATTTGATAACTTTTTTTTTTAATGAGAGAAGTCATAGGATCTACTACTTTATAGTAATTTAGAGAAATTAAGAGGAGAGAAATTAGCAGTGGAGTATAGACTCCATATTTGAAGAGATTTTCTGAGGAGCAGAGTTGAGAAATGGGTAGCTAGAGAAAGACCTAGGATAAAGTTAGAGAACTTTATTTTTGCTTTTTATTTATTAAAAAAAAATTTTAATGTTTATTTTTAAGAGAGAGAGAGACAGAGTGCACGCAGGGGAGGGACAGAGAGAGGGAGACACACAATCCAAAGTGGGCTCCAGGCTTCAAGCTGTCAGCCCAGAGCCCAACATGGGGCTTGAATTCATGAATGGTGAGATCGTGATCTGAGCCAAAGTCAGACACTTGACCGACTGAGCCACCCAGGCACCCCTATTTTTGCTTTTTAAAAAGCGTTGTACAATTTATACACGATGAAATGCACAATAAGTGTATGATTCAGTGAGGTTTGAGGTTTCCCCCCAAAATAGCTGCTTTTTGGGGGTTTTAATTTAAAACCCAGTTTTGGGGGTTGATACATGCAGCAGATCTGGTGGGCTACATTCCTTTGTTTTGTTTTGTTTAAAGTTTATTTTAAAAGAGACGGAGAGAGAGCATAACCTGGGGAGGGACAGAGAGAGAGAATCCCAGACAGGCTCTCCAACAGTGCAGAGCCAGATGGGGGACTGCTCTCATCAACCGCGCGATCATGACCTAAGCCAAAATCGAGTTGGATGTTCAACCAACTGAGCCATTGAACCAATTTTGTTTTGAACCAATTGCAGACTTACAGAAAAGTTGGGTATAAATACAGACTTTTTCTCCCTGAACTGTTTGAGAATTGCTGACTTGATGCATCATCACCACATATTCTTTAATGTATATTTATTGTAAACAAGAACATTATTATACATGGCCAGAAGATAGTCATCAAAATTAGAAAATTAATATCAGTACATTATCACCATCTAATTCTCAGACTCTGTTTAAATTTCCCACTTATCTTAAAATGCCCTTTATAGCAAAGGGATCCAGTTTAATTAGGGCCAGGGCTTACATTTGGTTGCCTTGTTTTCTTTTGTCCCCTTCAGACTGAAACAGTTGTAAGTCTTTTCTTGACTTTCATGACCTTGACCAGTTGAGGATTATAGATAAGTTATGTTGTAGAATGTTCTCAATTTGGGTTTATCTGATATTTGCTCATGGTTTATTTAAGGTTATATATTTCTGGTAGGAATGTCACAGAAGTGATATGCAGATTTCATTGCACATGTTAGTTTTTCATTAAACTTCCAGTTCTTTCATTTATTTAGTTCCTCTTTTATTTAGTGGATTATAATCTGTTACTATCATTTATTTTGGTGCCTATATTGTCCCTGATTTGGCCAGTGGGAGCCCAGTTCATGCTGGCTTCTATGTCATTTTTACATGTCCTCTTCATTTGATTACTTCATTCTGATTATATTTTAGAACAAGATATTCCAGGCTCATCTGTTATGTCTGTCATAGCTCTGGAATCAGCCATTTCTCCAGGGAGCCCTGATTTTTTGTTTTGTTTTGTTGTTTTGTTTTGTTTTGTTTTTAAGAGGAAAATGGTATTTCGAAGCCAAGATCTAGTAGGTGAGCTGGTAAACTCATTGCTGTTAGTGTTGTTCTAACATTAATGAGAATGGCCTTCTCAGTGGACAGAACTTTGTTCCTTCCCTTTCGGTCCCTGCTTCCTGCAAAGTATTACTGTTCTGATTCCTTTCATTAAAAAAAAAAAAAAAAAAGAGTTTTGCCTGTTTTAGAACTTTATATAAATGTAGTTATGCATGTATACTCTGTGACTGGCTTAGTTCAATCAGCATGGGTTTGAGGTACATCTTATTGTTGCCTGTATCAAAGGTTCATTCCTATTTATGGCTGAATACTATTCTGTTGTTGGATATATCGCTATTCATCAGTTAACGGACATTTCGGTTTTTCTAGTTTTTGGTTGTTATAAATAACTCTGCTAAGAATGCTCTTGTAATAAGTCTTTTTGTGGACCCATGATTTTATTTAGGGTAAACTCCTAGCAGTAGATTTACTCGGTCATAGGATGGTTGTATGTTTAGCTTTATGAGATACTTGCCAGACTGACTTCCCAGGTACTTTCACATTCTCTGATAATGTATTATAATTCTGGTTATTCCATATCCTCATGAATGTTTGGTGGTGTAAGTTTTTAAAATTCATAGATTGAAGGGCTCAGTATTATTATTTTTAAAGTTTATTTATTTTGAGAAAAAGAGAGCATGCACACATGAGCAGGGAAAGAGCAGGAGAGAGAGAGAGAGAGAGAGAGAGAGAGAGAGAGAGAATCCCAAGAAGGCTCCATGCTGTCCTCTCAGAGTCCAATGTGGGGTTCGATCTCACAAACTGTGAGATCATGACCTGAGCCAAAACCGAGTCAGATGCTTCACCAACTGAGCCACCCAGGCACCCTGAAGGCCTCAGTATTATTAAGACAGCAGTTCTCCCCACATTCGTTTATAGATGTAATCTTTTTTTCTAGGTCTTAGTTTGATTTTGGTATGAGGGTTTTGCCAGCCCTTATAAAATGTGTTGGCAAGTGTTCTCCATCTTCTAAAAAGAGTTTGCAAAAGACTGATATTTCTTCTTTAAATGTTCAATAAAATTTACCGGTGAAACTTTGTGGGCCTTGAGTTTTCTTTGTCAGAAGGTTTGTCACTACAAATCTAATTAGTAGATTTAGTACTATTCTGATTTGGTGTTTCTTCTTGTGTCAGTTTTGGTAATTTTTGTCTTTTAAGGAAATTGTCCATTTTACCTAAATTTCCTGTCAGATTGTTGTTCATAATATCCCCGTTACCCTTTTAAGTACTGTAGAATCTGTAATCCCTTTTCTGGGATACTGGTAATACGTGTTTTCTCTCTTTTTTCTTAATGAGTCTGCCTATCAGTTTATCAGTCTTACTGATCTTTTCAAAAATTGCTTTTCTGTTTATTTCTTACTTCTCTTAATCTTTATAATCTTTATTATTCTTTCATTTGTTCCTAAGAAATCTCTCTTCTTGGGGTGCCTGGGTGGCTCAGTCTGTTAAGCATCTGACTCTTGATTTCAGCTCAGATCATGATCTCACCATTTTTTATTTTGAGCCCCACAACAGGCTTTGGCCAAAGCCAAAGTAGGCAGAGCCTACTTGGGATTCTATCTCTCTCTGCCCCTCCCTTGCTCATGTTCTTTCTTTCTCAAAATAAATAAATAAATAAACAAACAAACAAACTCCCTTCTCAAGGTAAATGCTTAAATAACTGGTTTTAAACTTTCCTTCTGTAATACTAGCATTAAAATTATAAATTTACCTCTGAATACTGATTTACTTGCATCCCACCAATTCTGTTATGTTGTGTTTTTTATTATTGTTCTGTTATTATTTCTTCTTTGATCTGTGGGCTACACAGAAAAAATGTTGCTTAATTTGCAAATACTTGGGGCTTTTCTAGCTACCTTATTATACTGATTTCTGTTAATTCCAGGAAGGTCAGATTATTTCAGTCCTTTTAAATTTGAGATTTGTTTTATAGTCTAGCACATATTGTCTGTTTTGGTGAATGTCCCAGGTGTTTGGGGAGGGTCCCAGAGAATGTAAATAATTTATATTCTGCAGTTTTATACAAGGTTCTATAAATGTCAGTTGGTGTAATGGTGTTATGCAAGTCTTGTTTATTTTTGCTGATTTTTATCTACTTATTCTGTCAGAACAGTTGAGAGAGGACTATTGAAAATTCCAGCTATAATTGTGGATTTGTCTGTTTCTTCAGTTGTCTAGTTTTGCTTCATGTATTTTTCTTCTTTTTTTTTTTAATTGAAGCATAGTTAATGCTTCATATATTTTGAAGATTTGGTATTAGGTGCATACAGATGAGTCTGAGTCTTCTTGATGTATTAACCCTTTAAGCATTTATAAAATGTTCCTTCCTGGCGTGTTTGGGTGGCTCCATCATTTAGGCATCCAGCTCTTGATTTTGGCTCAGGTCATGATCTTATGGTGGTGGGATTGAGTCCTGCTTCTGGCTCCGTGCTGGGCATGGAGCCTGCTTGGGATTCTCTCTCCCTCTCCCACTGCCCCTCCCCTGCTCACACACATTCTCTCTCTATCTCAAAAAAAAAAAAAAAAGTTCCTTCTTTATCTCTGGTAATAAAGGGGTCTCTATGTCTGTCCCCACTTTAACTCTTCATCTTGCCTTCTATTGAAGACGGCTTTTTCAGATATGAGTATTGCAACAAGAGTTACGTAAGCATGGGAAAAATAACAGCATGTTTATATGCTGATGCCTATGATCTGTCAGAGAAGGGGAGAATGGTACAGGAAAAGAATGAGGAGTGGAGTGATCTTGAAAATATGAGAGAATATTCTTGAGAATATCATTGTAGGGCTTAGTCTTAGATGGGAGCATGGAGAATTTCTCTGCCAGTTTAACCAAAGGAAGACGTGGGAATGGCTACAATAAATTAGGTGTAGAAGTGGCAGTTGTGCAGGTTCTTTTGTGAATGCTTCTGTTTCCTAAGTGAAACAAGAAGCAAGGTTATCAGATGAGAATGTGTTTCTAGAAGATGTTGGAGGTTTGAGGAAGTAGTCATCTTGTCAAACAAGAGTGAGTAGCCTTGACAACTGTAGTATGATCGTCAGGTAGCACTAAGGGTCCACTTCCAAGTTTTGTACTCATGAATGTAAAGTCAAGGTCAACTACATGAAGATGCAAGGGTGTAGCAAAAAGTGGGCATACCGTCAGACTTAACTAGAGTGGGGATTTAGCAGACTGGCATGACAAAGATTGGAGCAAAGGAGTTAAGGATGTTTATGAGGGAGTGATAATATTGATTGGCCGTGGAATCCTACACTGGAAAGTGAGGGTACAAAGGAGGGGAGGAACAGTGAAAATTGTGTTCTAATCAATACATTGTAAGTCCTAGTGGAGGTTGGAGGTTAAAAAATTGTTAGAGTTGAGGTATCACAAGGAGTGAGCTAGGAAGAGGTAGTGGTAAAATTGCTTGGGATTCCCCCACCCCCCAACTCGTGCTTTCTCTCTCTCTCTCAAATAAACTTAAAGATTAAAAAAATTATTTAAAAAACTTCATTTATTAGATATTAAAAGAATCCTTTATATATAGCATTGGTTTTAAAGAATCTCTCTTGGATTATTTCACCCAAATCTAATCAGATCCAAGCAATAAATATTTAATTATATATTTGCCTTAAAGTATTTGAGTTTTACTTCAGTTAAAAGACTCATCACTTTGCTTTTTCTTTCTTTTAGTTCCTATTACCTGTGGACTACATTTCATGCCGAAATAGTAAAACCTTAGTAGTTTAGATGACAGGAACGTTGAAGAAGGCCAATCCAAACTATAGAAATAGTTATCACAGCTAGGTTTTTGACACTTATAATGTTTCTTTTTGTCTGTGTCTCTTCATCACTACCAAAGTGCTCTATATTAGAAGCAGTAGTTTGCAGTTAATTTTTAATAATTTCTAGAGGCTTCTAAACATTTTTAAATATTAGAGATGCAGTGGTGGGAAATTTGGGGGGTTAATGAGTCTAAACATACTGGATTTATTTATTTTTTTATTGTGAAATATTACAGACATGCAAAAAATACATAGCAAACTAGTGAATATCATGATCCCATCACTCAGCTTTTTCCACATCTTAACATTTTGCTGTATTTGCCCAGGCTTTTTTTAATTTCAATTTTCATCATGAAAATTTGTAAACACATAGAAAACTTGAGAGAATAGAACATTACTTACTTATATATCTAATACCTAAATTCAGCAATTAAAATTTTGTCATATTTGCTTTAGAATATTTTTTTACATTTTATTTTATTTGGGGGGGGGGGCAGAGAGAGAATTTTAAGCAGGCTCCACACAGCACAGAGCCCAGCATAGGGCTTGATCCCACATTCCTGGGGTCATGACCTTAGCTGAAATCAAGAGTCGGACACAACCTACTGAGCAATCCAGGCACCCCATTGTATTTGCTTTAGTATGTACATTTGCTGAATTCTTTGCAAATAGATTTCTAAATATGACAGTTCCCTCATAGCACATGTTCTAATATATGAATATTTACATATATAACCATAATTCCATTATTACACCTATAAAAAGTAATGGTAATTTTTTGATATCATGTAATTTTCTGGTTTCCTTGGTTGTCCTTGAAAGTCTTCAATAGCTTTTTTTTTTTTTAATTATTTAAACCAGAATTCAGTCAAGGATCATGCATTATGGTTGGCTGTAAAGTTTCTTTAATTTCTTTTAATCCAGAACAATCCCTCCCCTCAACATGGAACTTTTTGCCCCTCTGCCATTGATTTATTTGGTAAAGTCATTGTATAGAATTATTAGACAAATCTACATTCTTGATTTGTCTGTTTTCTTTTAGTAGTAGTTCACCTGTTACTCTGTCCTCCATATTTCTTGTAAATTGGAAGGTTTAAAGCTGGATTAGATCTGGCATAAACATTTTTGGTAGGAAAATGTATGTTTTATATTGCATTGAATCAGCAGACATACAATGTTGGTCTTGAAAAGGTGGTGACTGCCAGATGTCTATGTGAAAAGCTATCTTTTCTTTTGTAAATCATTAATCTGCTGGATGATACTTTGGCATCCTGTGAATGATCTGTTGTAGGAGGACAATGGTAGAAATTTTTCATGTACAACTTTTCATTCTTCAATTTAAAGATGGTGGGGTAAGATAAATTATACATAAGATAAATTATCCTGGGAAAATGTCCAGTAATATCAGAAGTCACAATAAATGCAAATAAAATAACAGAGTACCCTTTTCCATCTTAAATTGGTAGAAATTAAAGTTGAGGGTCCAGAACATTGTCAAGAATGTGGGAAGCAAAGGAATCTAAGTAACTGCTGGTAGGTGGGTGTGTGTGCATGCGTGTATATATACATATACATACACGTATACATATATACATATGTATGTACATATACATACATACATATACATACTGTTTAAGTATTTTTAGAGAACAGTTAAGCAATATTTACAAAAATAATTCAGTACTTTTACTCAGCACTTCTGCCAGGAACTTATCCTGTGTGTACTTGTACAGCAAGGTGTGTGTATGAGGATGTCATTGCAGTATTACTTTAAATAGCAAAAAAAAAAAACCCTCTAAAACCTAGTAACAACATAAATATCATCTTGCACTGATAAAGAATGATGTGACGATAAAGGCCTTTTCAAAACTCAGATTATTCTTGTCCTCAGAATGTTTTCCATAGGTTTTGTTGTTGTTGTTTTTGTTTTTCTTTCATTGATGCTGTAGCTTTTCTTACCTGCGGGTATCTTTTTGGTTTTATTTTCTTTTACTCTTTTCATTGTATATAAACATATAGAAAAATAAAAACTAAATCAGATGCCTCTCATACCTAGTTTTCTAATTCTTAGAATCAGTAGGGTTTTGATGCTAAAGCACTCAAAGCAATATTATTCATTGTTCGTTTGTCTCATGAGAATCCGATGTAAATCATATAATGGAGAAGTGACATTTTACATAAGAAAAATGTTGGCTGTACCCTAGTTATAGTGAAATTCTTGAAATGGAAATACCTGTCACCTTTAATATCTTTAATTTAGTATCTTTAATATCTCTATATTTTTTATTCTTTTAAACAGTTCGTTTTCCTGAAGATCTTGAGAATGACATTAGAACTTTCTTTCCTGAATATACCCATCAACTCTTTGGGGATGAGTAAGTAACATAGTAAGATGTTTGCCAAATTAGTATGGCCAAAAAAAAAACCAACAATTTTTTTTTTTTTAAGATCTAGAAATCAGACTTTATTTTCTTTGTTGTTTTTTATGTAATTTATTTAAAATATACATTAGAATGGCATTTTTGACATTGAGACACCAGTTTACTATATAATACTTATCACAGAGTACTTTAGAGGCATTCTCTCATTTAATTCTCACAGCTGTTTTAGCGATGGTATTACTAGTCATTACACTGTACATTGGTGGAATTGATAGTTGCTTAAGGACATCTGACTGGCCAAAGTTCAGATTCAGGCAGTCTGACTGTGAAGCCCATATTCGTAACTACTACTTTTTTCTTCCTCTTGCTGTGCTATATTGCTTTTAGTACAAAATATACTCTCCTAAAGCTGGAAAGCTCAAGTTGTTCTTCGATGATGAGTAAGCAGTTTATTTATTTACAGAGAAATTTATTTTTGAAAGCAATGTTAAAGATATAACCTAGGATATTCAGCACAATTCCTTAATTTCTTATAGCTTCATTACATTATATAGCCAGTTACCATTTTTTTTTAACTTTTGATTTTGAAAAAAACTTCAGATTTGCAGAAAATTATAAGAATAGTACTCTTATATCCTTTAAAATCTAGATTCCCCAGTTACCATTTAGTTATATTTGCTTTAATCGTTTACTGCTATATAGATCTATTGGTATGTTGAACCATTTGAGGGTTGGTTGCAGATGTATCTTGATCCCTTACTCCTAAATTCTTTACAATGTATTTCCTAAAAGCAAGGACAGTAACCATAGAATTATCAAAACTCAGGAAATTTAACATTGCTGTAATACTATTTTCTAATATATCATCCACATTCCAAATTTTGCCAATTGGTTTCCAGTAATTCTTTTTAACAATTTTCTTCATTCTGGATCCAATCCAGAGTCATATATTGCATTTAGTTTAGGCTCCTTTAATCTGAAACAGTTCCTCAGCCTTTTTGTTTTTCATGATATCACGTTTTTGTGGGTTATAGGCTAGTTTTATAAACTTTAATTTTGGATTAGTTTGATTTTTCTTCATGATTAAATTCAGATATTGTGCATTTTTGTAGTACCTTAACAGAAGTTGTGTGTGTCCTTAGTCTGTCACAATCAGAAAGCCCATGATGTCAGTTTGTTCCATAACTTGTTAACTTAGTTTAGAGGTGCCTGTCAGCTTTCTCCACTGTAAGGTTTTTTCCTTTATTATGTAATCTGTGGGGAGATACTCTGAGACTGAAAATATACTGTTTCCCTATCAGTCTTTTTCACCCAGTAGTTTTAAATCCATTGATGATTCTTGCCTGAATTGGTATTTTACTGTGATTATAAAATAGTGATTCTCTAACTTTGTCATACCTTCTGCATTTATTAGTTGGCATTCTGTAAGGAAGAGCTCTTTTTTTCCCCTTAAGTATTTCTTTGTGTATATCAGAAGAGACTCAAGGATTCTTTTTTAATCCAATGAGTTATAATCCATTACTGTTATTGTGACACTCAAATTACCCCATTTCAAATGGGCTTTTGAATCCTTTTGATATATCATCATCATTTTGGGGACACTTTACCTTCTGATATGGAGATTCATCATATACTTTTTCCAGTATTTCTGGAGTCAGCCATTTTCCTAAGGAACCCTGGTTTGTTGTAGGAAGAAAGCGTGTTTTGATATAGTTGACATTTAAAATATTTCCCTTCATGGCTGTTTTACCTATGTGTTATTTCAGCATTGTTCACATATTTATTTAATGTGGTTTTTGTTTTTAAAGTACACTGGTCTTAAGAGAAAGAGAGCACGCTAGTAAAGGAGGAGCAGAGAGAGAGGGAGAGAGAATCCCAAACAGGTTCTGCACTGCCAGTGCAGAGCCTGATGCAGGGCTCAAACTCACGAATGGTGAGATCATGACCTGTGCTGAAATGGAGTCGGATGCTTAACCAACTGAGCCACCCAGGTGCCCCTCATGTGTTTTGAAATTGACAGATGTCTCTTCATTGACAAATTTCCTCCGAAGTTTTCATTATTAATGTATCAGATTAGGCATTTTATGTGCTATTAAATAGTAATAATTGTATTTTATTATGTATTGATTCATGCCAAAATTTGAGTCTTTTGTATTTCAAATAGGTTTTATTTTATTATAAAAAGAGAAATGTTTTCTTTTTGGATTTCTATTTTTAAGGAGCTATTTTTTTTTATTCTCTTCCTATTACTGCTATTTAAAATCTCTTCCTTTGGTGCATAGGATCTAGTCTACAGATGATGCTTCTTAATGGTATTCTGTACATTCATTCTGTTTTGCATGTCATTAAAATGCTTGCATACTCCTAAGTTAGACAGATGACAGATAATTATGATGACCATGTCTTATGACTCAGGTATGACCTTGATACTACTATCATTGCCATTCCATTTTATAAACATAACTTTCAGAGTCCTGGAATGGACACTGCTAATACTTTATTTTGGTAGTCTAGACAGAAATCTGGAAATGGCACTGCTTCTTCCAGGCACTCTTCTTCAGAATTCACTTAAAAAAAGAAAAGCTTTATTGAGATATAATTTACTATATAGTTGATCTACTTTTTAAAACATTTTTTAATGCTTATTCATTTTGAGAAAGAGAGCACAACCAGGGAGGGACAGAAAGAGAGGGAGACACAGAATCCGAAGCAGGCTCCAGGCTCCGAACAGTCAGCTTAGAGCCTGACGTGGGGCCCGAACTCAGAAACTGTGAGATCGTGACCTGAGCTGATGTCGGACGCTTAACTGAACTTGAGCCACCCAGGCGCCCCTGTATTTAAAGCATACAGCTCAATGAGTGTTGTGTAGTCATCTTCACAATCAGTTTTAGAATATTTTTGTCATTCCTACCCAAATTCCCATAACCAGTTAGCAGTCATGCTCTTTTTCCCCATTACTCTCCCCAGCCCTAGGCAATCATTAATCTACTTTCTGTCTCTGTAGCTTTACCTATTCTGAATATTTTATTTTTTTTATTTTATTTATTTATTTATTTTTAATGTTTATTTATTTTTGAGACAGAGAGAGACAGAGCATGAATGGGGGAGGGGTAGAGAGAGGGAGACACAGAATCGGAAGCAGGCTCCAGGCTCTGAGCCATCAGCCCAGAGCCCAACGCGGGGCTCGAACTCACAAACCGTGAGATCGTGACCTGAGCTGAAGTCGGACGCTCAACCGACTGAGCCACCCAGGCGCCCCTACCTATTCTGAATATTTTAGATTCACATTTTGGAAGACTCTTTTTAGAGAATATCAAGGCGTAGATGGATGTCAGGGAGCAGGATTGGAAAAATAGCAGCCCCAGATCTGCTTTCTGAGTTCATACAGGGTGTAATTAGGTGCTTTCACCACTCTCAGCAGCTCTGGTATCTTGATGATAGAAGCAGGTGGTAAATTGGAGGCAAGACTGGGCCAAAGCTACATGTTAGCTGCTTGCCTAGCCAGGTACCAGTTTAATACCACTTGTGTCTGATTTGAAATGCTCTCTGGTACTAGTAATAATAGCAGCAGCTGCAACAGTAGCAGTAACATCTGACACTTATTACTACTTGTATAATGTGTTAGTTCAACATTATGAGCAGTTTACAGGTATTAACTTCCTCATTCAACCCAAACAACATCCCGAAGGTAGGTGCTGTTATTTTCTCTTATTTTTTTTAAAGATTTGATTTTTATGTAATCTCTGCACCCACTGTGGGCTCAAACTTATAACCCCGAGATCAAGAGCCACCCATGCGCCCCTCTCATTTTATAAATGAGGAAAGCTGAGACAGTTTCATTACAAATACTTGTTTCTTTTTAAAACAGGTGTAGTTTAAAATCTTGAAACTACCCATAAAGTTAAACTTGTTTATATGGATGGTTAATACTTGGTAATGACTTTGCAAGATTCTTTCTGGGGTCTCAGATTATTGATATTTTTTTCCTTTTCAGTGAAACTGCTTTTGGTTACAAGGGTCTGAAGATCCTGTTATACTATATTGCTGGTAGCCTGTCAACAATGTTCCGTGTTGAATATGCGTCTAAAGTTGATGAGAACTTTGACTGTGTAGAGGTAAGAACAAAAATGAATTTATCTTTAACTCTGCTTTCCATTTGAGTATAAAGCAGGTTTTAAAATTTAAAGGTTTGAGGGAGGAGAGAATCTGTTATATAGTAGCTTTGAAACCACATATTCAATCTTTAGTTATGGATGTGATTGCCTGCCTATCATGGCAGTTAACGTTTGATCATGATCCTTAGCCTGATCTTTTTCCTGAGTGGTCCTTACTCTATAAAAATGTTCACTCTTATGATCATAGTTGTATTTTGTTTACCAAATACAATTCTGGCCACTAGAATTAGAAGAAGCAAGGAACAGATTCTCCGCTGGAGCCTCTGGAGGGAGTGTGGCCCTGTTGACACCTGAGTTTAGCTCAGTGATACAGTTTTTAGACTTTGCCTCAAGGCTGTGAAAGAATAAGTTTCTGTTGCTTTAAGCCTCCAAGTTTGTGGTAGTTTGTTATAGCAGCCACAGGAAACTAATATAGATTTTCATACCAGGAAGTGGGGTGCTACTGCAACAAATAACTAAAACTCTAGAAATGTCTTTGGAAATAGGTAATGGGTAGAAACTGGAAGAATTTTGAGGTACGTGATAGAAAAAGCATGGACTCCCTTGAAAAGACTGTTGGTAGAAATATGGACATTAAAGGCATTGCTGGTGAGGGCTCAGAACAAAGTTAGAGGCATGAGAGAGAAAGCCAATATCATCATAGAGAATAATGTACCATCACAAACAGTATATTGGTAGAAATAGGAATGTTGAAGGTGCCTCTGTTGAGTCAGAAGGAAAGGAGGAACATGTTATTAGAAAATGAAGGAAAGGAGATAGATATTTGTTATATAGCGCCAGAAAGCCTAGCTGAATTGTGTCCTACACTTATATGGAAAGAATTTATAAGCAGTGAACTTGGATATTTAGCTGAGGAGATTTCCAAGCAAAGGGTTGAAGTTGTGGCCTGGTTTCTTGTGGCTTATTATAAATGTGGGAGGAAAGGGAGAGATTGTGAGAAGAACCGTAAAGCATAAAAGATCCACGACTTGATGATTTGGGAGACTCTTAGCCTATCCAGGTTGCAGAAGACACGGAAATTAGGAGATTCATTGTTAGGAAAGCGTGCTGTGGAGAGAAAGCTGAAAGCATGGCTAGATAACTTTTTACTCTTGCTGAAGAGATTAGGCATGTGACTCTTGTATCTCCTCAGTAATCTCAGCAAAAGCCAGGAATAGAGATTGAGTAGAGATCAAGTCCTTTGTAGGACCATCTTGTCTAATGGCATGAACCCTCATGGCATACACAGGTGACCTAGAAGGGTTTTGAGAGTGTTATATCAGCAGAAACACTGCCAGTGTGGACTAACAGGATGAGGAAAGGCAAATGAATTTTCTAAATTCTATAGGTAGGAAACAAGCTGATAACACTACTCAGCTGCAAACATGTACTTCCCTTCGAGAAAAAGGAGTAAGACCCAGAGGGTAGAGCTGCAGGCCACAGTATCCCCAAGTCTTGAAACCTAATGGAATTTGACCTTCTGGATTTTGAAATTGCCTGGTACCAGTGACACCTTTCTTTCTACCATTTCCTTCCTTTTGGAATGGGAAACTCCTTAACTTATCCTGTGCCTGTCTCACTACTGTATTTTAGAAGCAATAACTTGCTTTCTGGTTTCACAGTATCACAGGTGGAAAGGAATTTTGCCTTGTGAAGTATCCTACCCAGAGTCTCACTCATACCTGATTAGATAATGACATTTTGGACTTGAGTTGATGATGGAATGGTTGAAACTTTTGGCAGTGTTGGGATGGGATGAGTGTATTTTGCATGTTTAGGATGGACATGAATCCCTGAGGGACCTTAAGAAAGCTGTATGTTTTCAGACATCTTGGTGGCTCAGTCAGTTAAGTGTCAAATTCCTGATCTCTGCTCAGGTGAGGTGTAGCCTACTTAGGATTCTGTCTCTCTTCTCTGCCCCTTCCTGGCTTGTGTGCAGGCTCTCTCTCTTTAAATAAATAAAGTTTAAAAAGAAAAGAAAATTATGTGTTTTAGAGTTCTGTTTCTGCGCATTCCTATTTAAACACACTGAAATTTTTTTTTTCTTTAAGGTTTTGTTTAAATTCCAGTTACCATACAGTGTAATACTAGTTTTAGGTATACAGTATAGTGACTCAGCACTTCCATACATTGTCACCCAGGGCTCATTACATGTGTACTCCTTGATCCCCATCACCTGTTTAACCCATCCCCCCCAACTATCTTCCTTCAAGGCATTGAAACTTTTCATTAAGAATTACTTCACAGAAGGGTGCCTGTGCCTGGGTGGCTCAGTCGGTTAAGCGTCCAACTTCTTCTGCTCAGGTCATGATCTTGCGGTTCGTGAGTGAGCCCCTTATTGGGCTCTGTGCTGACAGCTCGGAGCCTGGAGCCTGCTTCGGATTCTGTCTCTCCCTCTCTCTCTGCCCCTCCCCTGCTCTCTCTCTCTCTCTCTCTCTCTCTTTGTCTCTCAAAAATAAACATTAAAAAAAATTAAAACAAAGAATTATTTCACAGAGTTGAGTTTTTTAAATGAAATGCCATTTTTGTCGCTGAATCACATTTACAAAACTGCAAGTTGCATTCTTATTTTTTAAAAGAAGGTTTTTTTAATGTTTATTTTTGAGAGAGACAGAGTGCCACTGGGGGAGGGGCAGATTAGCATTTAAACCAACTTTTTCAAGGTTTTAAATGGACTTTAAACTTCTGACTTAATTCTTTTGCCAATCTCATCTTTTTGCCCCTTAATTCTTTTGCCCCATCTTTTGTTGGCTAAAACCTCTCCATGACTTGGGACTGGTTGATTTGGTTCTTTTTATTGTTTAATTTTTAAAATTTTGTTTCATTGTAAAGGACTTGCCCAAATTCACGCAATGCTGTATAAACTAGCATGTAATATAGACTTATTAAAGTGAAGTTTTTCCCTGATCATATGTTTCTTATTAGATTGTTAAATTCTCAGGCCCAGCTAGATACTCTTATTAAAAATGCAGGTAGTAGTTTCCTTGTGTAGTACAAAATATAATATCATTTGAAGATTTTGGTGGTGGTGTTTTTTTTTTTTAAAGTTCCAGCTGATAATACTGGATTGATTTCTTCCAAAGGAACTATTGACTTAGTTATTGGTAAATCTTTCAAATACTATTTGCAGTGAAATAGCTATGTATTTGCATTGACTTCTAATTGTTCCATTCTTGAAAACCAGGTTTTTCCATTTAGAAGTGCTGTGTTAGGAGTAAGGAATCAATCTTTTATGGTGTCTTTTTGTAGGATTATTTGCTTCATGATTGAAGATGATTTGTATAAATTACATGTTCAAGCAAAGACTTTTTTCCCCCTATAAAAAAAGAATGGGTAGTGGATGTTGGGGGGATGGGCTTACCTCTTCTATCTTAGTTTGTATTGAGATATCACTATGCCTCTATATTCTTGATGCTATAGTCGCAACAAAACAAAATCATTCCTCTCATGGAGCTTGTATTGTAGCTAGGAGGAACAGTCAGTAAACAAAGAGTTTTGTTTGTATGCTTTGTTTTTTAGATTTCCCTTAACATAATACTCTGTAGGTCCATCCATGTTGTTGCAAATGGCAAGATTTCATTTCTTTATGACTGAGTAATATTCCATTGTATGTGTATTTTTATATATCCCATCTTTACTCCTCTATCAATGGATACTTACAGTGCTTCACATTTTGGCTGTTGTAAATAATGCTGCAGTGAATACAGGGGTGCATGTGTCTCTTCAAATTTGTGTTTTCATCTTCTTCCGATAAATATCCAGAAGTAGAATTCTGGATTGTATAGTAGTTCTGTTTTTAATTTTTTGAGGAACCTTCATACTGTTTTCCATCGTGGCTGCACCAATTACATTTCCACCAACAGTTATGAGGGTTCCCTTTTCTCCACTTTTTAGTATGATGTGATCCCACTTGTTTACTTTAGCTTTTGTTGCCCTTGCCTGAGGAGACTAGTCTGAAATCTATTGCTAAAAACAATGTTAAGGAGTTTATTGCCTATGTTTTCTTAAAGGAGTTTTATGGCTTCAAGTCTTAACATTCAAGTCTTTAATCCATTTTGAATTTATTTTTGTATATGGTGTAAGATAGAGGGTCCAGTTTCATTTTTCTGCATGCAGCTGTCCAGTTTTCCCAATGCCATTTATTGGAGAGACTATCTTTTCCCATTGTTTATTCTTGTCTTCTTTGTCATTGATTAATTGACCATATATGCATGGGTTTATTGTTAGGCTTTCTATTCTATTCCATTGATCTGTTTTTGTGCCAATACCATACTGTTTTAATTACTATAGCTTTGTAGTCTAGTGTGAAATCAGGGAGCATGATACCTCCAGCTTTGTTGTTCTTTCTCAGGATTGCTTTGGCTGTGCAGGGTCTTTTGTGGGTCCATACAAATTTTAGGATTCTTTGTTCTAGTTCTGTGAAAAATGTGGTTGGTATTTTGATGGAGGGTGCATTAATTATAGATTGCTTTGAGTAGTACAAACATGAACACAATATATCTTTCCATTTATTTGTGTTGTCTTCAGTTTCTTTCATCAAGGTCTTACACTTTTCAGAGTCTCCTGCTTTTTCTGAGGTAATTTCATTGCTTTTTAGTGCAAGGGAGTGTAACTAAGATTGCTCAGTCTTGCTAATTGTTAGCATTTCTGGGAGAAAGTTTAGTAGAGAAAGTTGAAATATTTGGGTACAGTTTGTATTATCTGTGAATTTCAATCTATTTTTATCCTTGTCTTCCACTAATATGGATTGAATTTGAGAGTAGATGAGAGCAAATATTTAAAATTTGCTGGATTCTTTAGCATCTTAAAGAAAATCCTTGTGCACTTATGAAAATTTAATCTTGAGGAAATAAAAAAATAATCTTTGGTAGACTAATACTTCACTATACTCTTTTTGATAATTTGGACAGTGTTCTTAGTGTGTAATGCTTTTTATAAAATATAAAAAGCTTTCAAATTATATATTGAGATTTCTATCTTAGAATTTTATATATGAGCTTAGGTAGCGAAATACTAATGCAGTACAAATCAACAGGATACCACTTATGTTTTTCCAGTAGTGAAAAAGTTCACACTGTTAACTTCTCTAACAACACTCAGATTTCCAGACATGTTGTCGGGTAATGTAAGATTGAGCAAATTAAGCAGATACGGAAATTTTTTGGCTTGTAGTTTGTAGTAGATCTTAGGTAATCTTAGAATTCTAGTCGATGTTATTAAGTCTGCCACTTTAGCCAAGTAAAGGAGCACCTACTTAACAGGCCTTTTTAAATTTTTTTTTCTTTTTTTTTTTTCAACGTTTATTTATTTTTGGGACAGAGAGAGACAGAGCATGAACGGGGGAGGGGCAGAGAGAGAGGGAGACACAGAATCGGAAACAGGCTCCAGGCTCTGAGCCATCAGTCCAGAGCCCGACGCGGGGCTCGAACTCATGGACCGCGAGATCGTGACCTGGCTGAAGTCGGACGCTTAACCGACTGCGCCACCCAGGCGCCCCTTAACAGGCCTTTTTAAAATCATTATTTCAAAAATAACTCACCATAGACAAATTTATACAAATGATGCTGTTTAGGATAAGATACTAACGACGTCATTTGGTTTTCAAATGTGTATAAATACAAATAAGGTGTAAATACATTTACATCATAGCAGACTACCAGTTATTCTCAGGCACATTGCTTTATGCAGTGATGAGGAAAAGCAAAAATTGCTTTCTGGGAAAATCGCATATATATCTGGGAAAATCGCAAGGTATAGAACATTGGAAGTTGAAATGATCATAATGTGAGATAATGCAATCTAAAACATTTCATCATGACTTACCTAAGAGCTAAATAGTATAATAGTTACCTTTATACTTTCCTTTATATTTATTTATTTAAAAAAATTTTTTTTAATATTTATTTATTTTTGAGAGACAGAGCATGAGCAGGGGAGGGGCAGAGAGAGAAGGAGACACAGAATCCAAAGTAGGCTCCAGGCTCTGAGGTGTCAGCACAGAGCCTGACATGGGGCTCAAACCCACGAACTGTGAGATCATGACCTGAGCCACAGTCAGACGCTCAACTGACTGAGCCACCTAGGCACCCCCCTATACTTTCCTTTTTAAAAAGATATTGCTAAATGTTTGGAAAACATTTGTAAGGCATGTCTTTATTAATATATCAGGTTGTATTCTAGATTCTTGATCTATTCATGAATGCTTAATTTCTTATCTACAAGTACATTTTTTCTTTAATTTTAATTGCGGTTTAAAATAATATTCTTGAGGGGCGCCTGGGTGGCGCAGTCAGTTAAGCGTCCGACTTCAGCCAGGTCACGATCTCGCGGTCCGTGAGTTCGAGCCCTGCGTCGGGCTCTGGGCTGATGGCTCAGAGCCTGGACCCTGTTTCTGATTCTGTGTCTCCCTCTCTCTCTGCCCCTCGCCCGTTCATGCTCTGTCTCTCTCTGTCCCAAAAATAAAAAAAATAAAAAATAAAAAAAAAATAATATTCTTGAAAGTAGGGAATTTTTTAGTGATCTTCAGAAATAGAATCGAAGCTTTTAGCAGCAAGCACTGGAACTAAAAGGTTTCAGTTAAGCTTTGATTCTACATGGAATTTAAAAAAGATGAGATGGGGTGCCTGGCTAGCTCAGTCACTGTAGCGTGCAACTCTTGATCCAGGGATTGTGATTTCAAGCCTCATGTTGGGTGTAGAGCCTACTAAAATAAACAAAAAAACAAATAAAAATATTTAAAAAATTTTTAAATGATGAGATGGGTTTTTCTTTAATGACGATTTTTATTATCTGGCCAGTAATCCAATATGAAAAATGAATATTTAACTGAACTAAATTAGTAAAGAGTACAGATTTCTAAGACAGGGTGGTTATGGGATATTTTCCTTAAAAGAGTATATTTAGTAGATAAGAGCCATTTGGTTTTATGCGATGTATTTTTTGCAATATATCCGATACATGTTTTTTCTAACCTATTATATGTAATAGATTCCTTGTTTTTAAACTTATTCTTTTATTCTTCTGTAAAAGTTCTTAAATGTTATGAACTTGCCCAGAGCCAAGTATTTATTTGAAGATATTTATTACGGTAAATAGGTATCCCTTGAAGGCTGAACGTTAAACATTAACTCTCTTTCAGCTTTATTGAGCTCAGACCTTTGGGTTTTTCTGTCTTCCACCAGAACTGCTACTTGAAACTTAGTTTCTATGTTTGATGCAAGATACGTGAAGTTATTCGATCATACTTTGCAATGCCTTGTTAAGAAGACAGGATATAGGGAATGTTTTTAAAATTTACAATTATACTATAAATGCTTTGAAGTGTTTTCTTTTAAACTGATAGGTTATAAGCCTTTTTATTTAAAAGTAATATTTCTTGACTTTTTTTAACTTGGACTAAAATTATACTACTTCACCTGTCACTACTTTGGATTTTAATTGCCATACATCAGACTGCTTAAAACTATTCCTTATTGTTACAGTTTCCTCTTGTACTTATTGAGGTTGTACATAGTCTATAAAATATGTTTAAGATGGTTTCTTCACATTAGATGGCACTTTAAACAAAAAATATCAAATGCAGTTTATTTGATCTTGAAGGTGAATGAACTGCAAGGACTGATGTACGCATTACAAATAAGCTGTTGGGCATAATATTGAAGAGCTATGTTTTAAATAATAGCTCTTCTTTTTTTATAGCTATAAACAAGTTATGTATAAATGTTGGTGGTAGCAGAGCATTAAAATAATAAAACTTGTTTGTGATAAACTCCATCCTTGGTTCTCTATCCTAAATTGTAACTGAATGATAATAAAGTGCTATTCATCTGCAGGTGCATTGCTTCTACTTAGTTAAAAGATGGTTGAAAGGACAGGAATTAGTAGCATGTTGTATTAGCCTTTTGTAGTGTATTTTGTCCTAAGCATCTTAATTTCCCTGTTTTGAATGCTAAGTAGCAAGGGTCTTGGTTTAGAACTAATACCCATCATGCATGTAAACGGTATGAAAGAGCTGCTTAGTAAGTTAACACAAAGTGTTCTTGTGTCAGTCCTTGTGGAAATAGATACAATACAAACATTACAGCTGAACTCACGGCAAACTCCATTAAGTAAAAACCTGGCCTCATTGTTCAAGAAAAAGTTTGAATAGAATGCAAGCTCATTTTGTTGAATGTAATGTCAGGCTTTTAGGGACTGTATTGAGGGATAAGGTTTTGTTAAGTTGAGACCAATTCATTAAGTTTTATTGCCTGGTGAGAAGCAGTAATACTTTATTGTAAGACTTCATCAAATATTCATGGTTAAAGAGAAGTAGTAAATGTATTCAATCAAGTGGTCTTTTGGGGTTTTGAAAGGGATTATGAAGTCTGCTCAGCTGATAGTTTTAACATTCATTGAGGTTGTTTAACAAGGGTAATTTTAGTCTCTGAGTTTAATTTTGTTGTCCAGGCTTGTCTCTTTCTACTGTCACAAATCCAAGTCTGTAAAATTTGTGTCACATTATAGGGATGAGTGAATAATCTATCCATTCATATAAATTATGTATGTCCTAAGTGGGCATATTTTTTAAATTGTCATCTTAATATTGAGTTTAGTGTATGAAGGAGTTACGACCTACTTGTTAATGTAAGTTTGCTGTTCGTTTGGTCAGACTGTAGCCTCCCCTTACTACTGCTTGTGATCTTGGATAATATGGTCTCCTTGACACACATAAAATAATAAGCAGTTTTTTGTTTGGGCCAGTTCCAATTGTCCTGAAGGGATATGATCAGCATTTTCTATATGATGTTAGAAATTTCAGTAGCATTGCCCTCATTCTTGCACCTGATTTCAGGCTACCTGCCTCTTCTTTTTTACTTCTTTATTATACTTATGTTCATCTCCGATTTGTGTGGTAGTAGTCTCTTGTGCACATGAAACTCATCCTTTCTCATTTCTCCATGTGTCTTCTTCTTTAGTTTAACTAGGAACTTCATTTTTGTGATTTTTGTGGGTTTTGTCCATTTCAAAGAAATTAAGTGTAATCAACTAAAAGTCAAATTTGTTATTAATGTTTTCTTATGTCCTTTACCCTCTGTTCCTTAGGCAGACGATGTTGAGGGCAAAATTAGACAAATCATCCCACCTGGATTTTGTACAAACACGAATGACTTTCTCTCTTTGCTGGAAAAAGAAGTCGATTTCAAGCCGTTTGGAACCTTACTTCATACATACTCTGTTCTCAGTCCAACAGGAGGGGAAAACTTTACCTTTCAGATATACAAGGTAAAGATAAATCTAAATATTTCTTGGGTGAAAGTACTTCATTTGCCTGAAACTGGTGTGCTGTTTTGTTGTGTTATTTTCAGTGACTCATTCTAAGTTCAGGAAACAAGTTTCAGTCAGCATTAAAAACAAAGATCTATTTTGTGTGTGTGTCTGTGTACACATCTTAATCTGAGACTTCTAAACATTTTCCCACAGGATAGTTTTGTGTTCTGCAGACTTTCACTTACCTCTGTGATGAGTTTCACCTGACTTTTCCTGGCTTTTTCCCTAGGCTGACATGACATGTAGAGGCTTTCGAGAATATCATGAAAGGCTTCAGACCTTTTTGATGTGGTTTATTGAAACTGCTAGCTTTATTGACGTGGATGATGAAAGATGGCACTACTTTCTAGTGTAAGTACAGTTCTAAAGCAACAGTAGACCTTATTACCTCCACAAAGCCAGCATTTTAATTGTGGCGGCCCAATTATTGGGACAGTATAATGATATTTTTCCCAGGAAAGAAAAACTATTGTTTATGAGGCTTGATTTTTCCTTCATTATGCTTTCGGAGACCTTGAGAATAGAGCTGAATTAAATGCTGTTGTCCGTTAGAGCCCTGAATGTAGGCTTAAACAGTAAAATGAGCTTTGCCTGTGTTTTCTTTTACTTGCCACCTATTCATCTTTATAATAGGCAAGTGCACTGAAGTGATGTAAAGAGGTCTGATTTATCCAAGTTGCTGCACACCAATTAAGTGAATTGTACATTCAGAACATAGCAGGTGTACCCATTGGGCCCTCACAGAGTAGCTTGCTGACACTGAAAATTCAGTCGGAGAATGGAAAAGAAAATGGACACTGCATGGGAGCGCGACTGTAATTGACCTGCTTGGCTTTCTGTTTTATCTGCAGATTTGAGAAGTATAATAAGGATGGAGCTACGCTCTTTGCGACCGTAGGCTACATGACAGTCTATAATTACTATGTGTACCCAGACAAAACCCGGCCACGTGTAAGGTAATTGGCGGTATAACACGTGCCTTGTCTTTTATTTCAGAAGAAGGAACTGCTGAAGTTTCCAATACTTGTTATAATAGTGTTGATTTGTTTAAAAAAATCGCCATTATTCATTGGCTATGTACTGATTTATTTCATTGTTCCCTTTGAAACAGTGTGGAAGATTAAACCAATTTTGCGTATCTTGATAATTTTTGGATTTCTGGAAGGTTGATTGAAAAAAACCACACTAACTTTAAAATGTTCTTAATGCTATAGTGATTTGCAATTCTTAAACGGATCATGTTATGATATTTTAATTTTAAAATCATTTCTTTACTGTAGTCAGATGCTGATACTGACTCCATTTCAAGGTCAAGGCCATGGTGCTCAACTTCTTGAAACAGTTCATAGATACTACATTGCATCTCCTTCTGTTCTTGATATTACAGGTATGTGAAATTTGATTTGTTACTGAAAGAGCCTTTCTTAAAGAATCTGTTCTTTACTGATTAATTTTATTTTTGTCAAAAAATAACTATTCTGGTTTTTTAAAATTGTTTTTAATGCTTACTGATTTTTGAGGATGGGGGAGGGAGACAGAGAATCCAAAGCAGGATCCATTCTGTCAGTGCAAAGCCCGACATAGGGCTCGAGCCCACAAACCATAAGATCATGACCTGAGTTGAAGTCGGATGCTCAACGGGCTGAGCCACCCAGGCATCACAAAAATAACTATTCTGCTTTATTTATTTATTTATTTATTTATTTATTTATTTATTTATTTTAACGTTTATTCATTTTTGAGACAGAGAGAGACAGAGCATGAATGGGGGAAGGTCAGAGAGAAAGGGAGACACAGAATCCGAAATAGGCTCCAGGCTCTGAGCTGTCAGCACAGAGCCCGACGTGGGGCTCAAACTCACGGACCGCGAGATCGTGACCCGAGCTGAAGTCGGACGCCCAACCGACTGAGCCACCCAGGCGCCCCAACTATTCTGTTTTAAATAGCAGCATTCTCTTGGGGTCTTTTTGGAACTGTGTGAAGATGGCTTATGGTTACATTTTAAATTATACACCTTTGGTGGGATTGGATTATATATCTAAGTAAAGTGCTTTATGAATTGAACAACTTGAAGATAATGAACTGAATATATATTGGGAAATTGTGGTCAGGCATAGGTACTTTGTAAGTGTGGTATGATTTTAGTTGTTCAGTTAATTTGCCCAACCATTGCATTGCTCACAGGCCCTGTTCTAATTTTCATGTAGAGAAAGAATATTCTGAGCCTCACGAAGAAAGAAAAACCTAGGCAAATCGTTCCTGAATAGAATACACTTTTTTTTAATGTTTATTTATTTTTGAGAGAGAGCATGAGAGTGAAGGGGCTGGGGGAGGACAGAAGATCTGAAGCTGGCTCTGCATTAACAGAAGTGAGCCCTATGAAGGGCTCAAACTCATGAACCATGAGATCATGGCCTGAGCCGAATGAAGTCAGACAGTTAACCAACTGAGCCATCCAGGCACCCCTAGAATACACATTTAAAAAAATTTTTTTTTAATGTTTTATTTATTTTAGAGAGAGACCGAGTAAGAGTGGGGGAGGGGCAGAGAGAGAGGGAGACACAGAATCCATGAAGCAGGCTCCAGGCTCCGAGCTGTTAGCACAGAGCCCAACACAGGGCTCGAACCCATGAACCACAAGATCATGACCTGAGCTGAAGTTGGATGCCCAACTGACTGAGCCACCCAGGAGCCCAGAGAATACACATTTCTTTTTTTTTTTTTTTTTTTTTTAAACGTTTATTTATTTTTGGGACAGACAGAGACAGAGCATGAACGGGGGAGGGGCAGAGAGAGAGGGAGACACAGAATCGGAAACAGGCTCCAGGCTCTGAGCCATCAGCCCAGAGCCCGACGCGGGGCTCGAACTCACGGACCGCGAGATCGTGACCTGGCTGAAGTCGGACGCTTAACCGACTGCGCCACCCAGGCGCCCCGAGAATACACATTTCTTAAAACATGTGTTTTATATCCCTAAAATGCACACCTTCACAACAGTAGTTTATAAGGCAAAATGCAGGCCTATCTGTTTTGGATACATCTTTCATTATGAATTAGCCAGAGTCATCATTAGATGGGGTTACAGATGATAGTGTGTAACATGTGAACTACCAAAGAACTGAGTGGCTGGAACATTTATGTTATTGTTATTTTCTTCTCCCTGAGTAACACTGTTTCAGATTTGTTACTCATACAGTTGCTGATTAAACTGAAAGTCACCCCCCTCCTTTTTTTTTTTTCATGAAAAATACTAAATCGGATATTCACATCCAAATTAGGTCTTACATTTTATTAATTCTATAATAGTTGGAGTACATTTTTGTTTTTGAAGCTGTAGTACCTAACACATACTAAAATATTAGTTTTTTTAAAAAACCCTGTTTTGGAATTTTATCAATTTGTTTAAAGATACCAAAAAAAAAAAAAAAAGTACTGGATGTGGGACTAACAAAAATATAAGTAGGCTTTTGAAAAAAAAAAAATATATATATATACACACACACATGCATACACACACACACACACACACACACAGAGGCTAATAGGCAGATTAGTAGTCTTTCATGTAATGTAGGGGTTTCACTTGTCCAGAGTAAACAAAATTAAAGTTACTGCAAAACAGATTCTGAATTGATCCTGTAGATTAATAAAAAACTAGAGGGAAAGCATTTGCTTTTAAAAGGGAGTTCCATATTTAAATTATCTTTTCATCTGACTTTTGTGCTACTGTGAAATGGGTTAGAAATTTGGAAGATAAAGAAGTAACTGCTTACGTTAGTTTGTATCAAAAGTTATAAATTGTTTAAGTGATACCTTCACTGGCTAAGTGAAAAATTATAGGGACAATAAAAATGATGACACTTGTTAAATAAGCTGAAAATTATTTGGCTTCTGTTTACTCTATAGAGTTTAGACTTGGTGCTAAACGAAGGGACTTTTTTGGTGATTTTAATCTGGAGACTTAGAGTTCACATAAGTAGTCTTTGTCTTCTCTAGTGGGTAATGTGCCAGCAGGGGTTGTTTCTATGAAGCCTCTTAACCATTTTCTTCTGTCTACTCCAACTAATAAAGTCCTTGATACTTAGCACCAATTAGCAGATAAAGAATTTTATTTCTTAAATCTCAGTGAAGAGTCATCAATAGTGTAGCCTTTATTCATTGCAAACTGAAGTCTCCAGAGAGAAAAGGCTAAACGTGCTAAAGGACTTCTGAATTTGAAAACTAGGTATCAGCTTTTATTTTCAGCGTTAACAGTTCTCAGCATTATAAATTACTAAAAATGCCTTATCAGCTGTTCTCGTTAAGACATTTCTTTTAGATTTCCATACCCAGTCTTTTTTAAAAAAGAAAACATAATTTTCCACTTTTTAGTCATTTTAGTTGCCTGTTTCTCCATTATTTTGTATATATATTTTTACCTTTGTTGATCTTTAGTAGGTTCTTGATCTTCCTTTGCAACCCTGAATATTCTTTATATTGAGATGGCCTTTTGCTTACTTGATTTACAGTCTGATATGGTAATAATTAAGTTAACATTGATGGGCCTATGTTACAGGATAGACAGGTGGTTGTGGTGTAATTGCCACTCATTTTCTTTTTTTTAGCACTTAATTTTAAAGCAAAATATTGGAAGATAGTTCTTCATATCATCTGCACCTTCCTATTCAGGATGTCACTATCTTAAGATACAAAGCATTTGAATACACCTCAGTTGTATGACCTTATAAATATAATCAGTGATTTATTTCTTCTAAAGTTCTGAAGAGAATTGAATTTAGCAATAGAAATTGATCTTGCAGGGGCGCCTGGGTGGCTCAGTCGGTGAAGCGTCTGACTTCAGCTCAGGTCACTATCTCACGGTCTGTGAGTTCGAGCCCCGCATCGAGCTCTGGGCTGATGGCTTGGAGCCTGGAGCCTGCTTCCGATTCTGTGCCTCCCTCTCTCTCTGCCCCTCCCCCGTTCATGCTCTGTCTCTCTCTGTCTCAAAAATAAATAAACATTAAAAAAAATTAAAAAAAAAAAAGAAATTGATCTTGGGCTGGAATATATATCAGTATTACTAATCTATCAGTAGTGTATTAAGAGCTAATTATAACTGTCCTTTAAATGTCCCTTTATAGGGGCGCCTGGGTGGCGCAGTCAGTTAAGCGTCCGACTTCAGCCAGGTCATGATCTC